AAGCGCTGCCCGCTGCAGAGGGACGGCGTGTACCGCTGGTTCTCGGAGCTGCCGTCGCCGCAGCGCGTGGAGTTCCTGTGCGGCCTGCTGGACCTGTGCATCCCGCTGGAGCTGCGCTTCCTCGGCTCGTGCCTCGAGGACCTGGCGCGCAAGGACTACCACTCGCTGCGCGACTCGGAGATCAAGGCCAACAACCCGGCCGACCTGGGCAGCCTCACCAACCTGACGGACGAGGTGGTGCGCAGCAAGCTGCTGGTGTCGCTGGCGCTGCTGGGCTCGGAGCAGCGCGAGGCGGCGGGCGTGCTCTACCGCACGCTCACGCACATCGACTCCATCATCCACAACTACGGGCTGCAGCTCAACGAGGGCCGCACAGGCGATGAGTTCCTGCTGCTCTTTACCATGGCCTCCAACCACCCGGCCTTCAGCTTCCACCAGAAGCAGGTGCTGCGCCAGGAGCTCACGCAGATCCAGAGCAGCCTGAGCGGTGGCGGCGGGGGCCCCGGGGGCAAGGGTGCTCCCGGACCCACCTGCCCGGCCTGCCACAAGGTGGGTGCACGCTCGTGTGTGCCAGTCGTGCGGAGGAGGGGAGGGCGGGCGCGCGTTACTGCACCCCTCATTCCAGCCCCCACCCCGGCTGCACCCCAAGCCTCCATCACAGGCCAGCACCTGGAACTCCCAAATCTGTGCCCAGGCCAGCGCTACTTCCCTTGCTTGCGTGCTGACCTTTACGAGAACCTTCCTAGTCAGCATCTAGGGCCGTATATACACCCAAGCCTCCACCGCACCCCAGACTCACACCCATAACGCCCAGATCTGGGCTCCGAGCCACGCTGCACCCCACGTCTGCACCCCATATCCGCACACAGAACCTCAAGTCTGCACCCGAGCTTCAGGCCACCGTTCTGAACCCGCGTCCTAACACCACCCAGAGGTCTCCACCCTGGTCGCACCAGGCTCCTACCTCGAATTTCCCTCCACGGCCCATGCCCGAGTCTACACACACGCTCCTGTCCCGAGCCCTGAGCTGCCTTCCCGGGCCGCGCGGGGGAGGCGTCTTCGGTCAGAGGTCGGGGCCCCTTTGTGTACCCTGTTCTCAGCTGGAAGGATGATAAGGCCTTTGTCCCGGTAATCGGGCTCTTGGATGACAGATAACAGTTAAACATTGTGTTGCCTTGGTTTTTCCAAATCTGCTGTTTATTGCTCAGAAAGAGAGTTGGGCTGTGCCCAAAGCCCGCGAGGTGGGGCGGGGAAGGCTCTGGCCTTGGTGGCCGCCGCTGCCCGCTCAGGTGTCGCCCGGCGCGCGCGTGCCTGCTCCGAGTAGGATGTGCGCGCGTACGCGTGTGCGTATGTGCGTACGTGTGTATACGGGAGCGCTGTGTGCACGCTGTGTGTCCGTATGTCTCAGGAGCCAGGCTGCCATTCAGCGGAAGGGGTCCGGCAGCCTCCGTGCCTGGCCCAGCAGCAGTTACTATTAGCAGGCGGCTCCCTGGGGGAAAGAGACCCCGTCGGGTGTGGCGCCCACCGCATCTGTCGGTCGGTGCGGGGCTGGAGGGCGGCGGTTTATCTGTCGCCGCCAGCCTGCACACTTGAGCAGCAGGGGCGTCGCGCTAGCCCTCTCGGCTGCGGGCTTTGTCCCGGACGCTTCAGGGCTGTGTCCCTCGGAGTGGTCATGGCCCCTGGAGCGGCCAGCATATTCTGCAGCGATGGAGCAGGCTTCTCTGACCTCGGTCGTGTCTCGTAGATCACAGCCCGGGTTTCTCGGCAAAGTCGTCCTCTAGGCGCCTCTCCGCCTTGTCTCTGAGCTCTTTGAAGTGAAAACTCGGGCCAACTTTTCATCCATGGAGTGACTGAGAAAACTGCATAGCTAGTGGTTGAGTTGGGTGTCTTTTCTTTAAAAAATTTTCGGCTTTCTTTGAACCCTGGGCTGTGGCTTTTTCCTTCACGATGCCTTCCTCTTAAGAAGTGGTTGTGGTATGTAGGTTGGTTTTTATTGCTGCTTTATCTTTTTGGTGATTTCCCTCTGAGGCTATAGCCTTTTCTGTCAGTTCAGTTCTGATCCTAGAGTCCTAGATGTGTGCTGTCCCGCTATGAATAGAAGACACAGGGCCAGGAAATGTCCTTGTTGGCAGTAAGCATTGTTGGCCCCTGGGTGCCAGGACACTGTCACCTTCCTGGGATCCCGGACCCGCTGGCCAGCTCACTGGGGTCTGCCTCGGTGCAGCATCCTGGCTGTGCCCCTGGCTGTGCACTGTCATCAAGGGGATGCTCTTGGGGTGCAGAGCCTCACCTCATGCAGGTGGTGGTTCGTTCGGTAGGGCAGCGGGGGAATCTGGAGCGGAAGTGTCCTAGCAGAGAGGCTTCCTGTCTGGCAGAGGTCCGTTTGATAGGGTGCTGGTGCCTGTTTCTGCCTCCTCCCCACCCAGGCAAGCCCTGGGCACAGCACCCACCAGCGTTCGAGCCTGACCACAGTGCCCGCCTCCTGGGGTCTCCTGCTGCAATTGGAGGATGCTTTACAGAAGGTGGAAAGCCAGGCAGGTGTCCCCATCTGCTCCTCTTCCTGGGCTGCGCCGATTTACAGAATTTACTTTTACAGAGGTGCATTGTATGGGGTGACCGCTGTGCTTGGCAGTGGGGTTCATGTTTTCTGTGCCACTGTTTGAGTTGTTGCCTGGGCCTGGCCAGGCTCGCTGTTTTGGAGATCTGGAAAGTCTCGGCCGCACCCTCAGTGATGCGGCCCTGGTAGGGAGTGGCCAGGGTTTGATCTTCTGTCCCCACTGAGGTGGCATCGGTCACAGTCACCGTTCTGGTGCGTCTGTGCCTTACAGCCCTAAGGTCAAGGCCTGACTCTGGTGAGCCCTCCAGCCTGCCGCCTGCCACTGGGCGTGACCTGGAAAGGCTGTCCTTTGGACAGCTCACACTGCTTTGTCTTGAACTCTGACCTTACAGAGTGTTTCTTCTAAAGATGCAGGGTGCTTCTTAGACTGTCCTGTTCACATCTTCACTTTTTAATTCTGTTTTCTGAAAGACCTCTTATTTGCAGTCATTTCTCCAAACCCTGTTTTTACTCTAGAAATCCTTATTGTTCTGCGGACTTCCAGAAGTTTAGAAATGTGGGGAGTGTTATATAGTCGCATTTTTTTCCACAAGGAAAATACACTTGCAAGGTTGGTGGTCAGCATGGTGCTGTGATGCTCAGTCCAGAGAAGTGGCATGCCGTGCTTTCCGAAACAGGAGTGAGACCTGTATCCGTGGGCGGTGCCTTGCTCTGTGAAGTAGAAAACACATAGCATGCGGCTGCCGTTTAAAGCGCGCTGTCCAGGGGTTTCCGTGTCACCAGAGTTGGGTGTTTACATTTAGACCACTTGCCTCACCTGTGATAGGTGCCTGTTTTCCTTGCCCAGTGCCTGTCCCCTGCCCTCTACCTCTGGGTTCTCATTGCTGGTCATTTTTCAGAGTGGACTGTGCGCAGTCTCTCGGCAGTCTCTCGTGGGAGCGGGGTGCCCACTGACTGCACAGACTCTGGCTGTTCTTGGTGTGCTCCCTTGCACCGAGCAGTCAGTGGACCGTCCTTGTGGCTGTCCCGAGGGAGACGACCATCCCCCGGCCTGCCGTGCAGATGCGGACCTTGGGCAGTTGTCTGAGCAGCCCAGTGCAGGGAACAGCAGAATTGCTTCATGGGTTTCCTTTTTTTTTTTTTTTTTAATTTTTGGTGATACGGGGGCTTGAACCAGGGCCTTGTGCATACTCAGCAAGCACTTACTGCTGAGCTACATTCACAGTTTTTTTTTTATCAGTTGCCCAGGCTGGCCCAGATCCTGCATGCCTCCTGCCTCAGCCTCCTGAGCACAGGACGGGGTTGTGCCTGCACATCCAGGCTGTTTCTCCAGGGTGCTGATGTGGTTTCTGCAGTGCTGCTGGGAAGTGCGTCTGGTGGTCTGCCCGGAGCGTGTGACCCGGTGGCCTCTAGCATGTGCCGGGTGGAGTGTAGCTGCTAACACACAGGTGCCAAGGGGCAGCCTCTCCTGCCCCAGGTGTACAGATCAGAGGTGAAACATGTCTGCCCTGTGGTTGAGGGCACTGCCTGGCTTCTCCCTCAACCCCGCCCATTCCAGCTGACAGCTACCTGACGGAGATCGCCTGGGCCACATGGCCTGCATGCTGTGGTGGCTGTCCGAGGGCACCGTTGGCCATGCTGGCACAGGCACCCGGCATCCTCGTGCAGCTGTAGGGGCTGGCAGGGGCCTCGCCAGGCACTCCAGAGTGGCACTCCGGTCGCTGTTGTGTGCCCTACACTGAGTGAAGGCCCTGACTCCCGCCACGAATTGTGCTCTGGGGACCTGGGTGTCTGTGTGGTGTTGGGGTGTGGCAGACAGTGGAGCTGTGCACCCCACAGGAGCAGGGTGCCCACTGACTGTTGAGGCATTGTCTTGCCCATTTGCTTTCCCTGGGAATACGTGGTTTTCCAGCAGATTTCCTCAAGCCTTACAGCTGCAAAAGGAGCCTGCCGGAAGGTCCCGGGCCAGTGCATGGGTTGTGCATGGGCCTGGCACGATGGAGACACTGACGCGACGGCTGATTCCTGCTTGAGACCTGCTTGAGTCCCCTGGTGGGCTGGTGATCTCAGATCTCAGACCAGATCTGAGAAAAAGACCCCTCGGGCTGGCGGCCGGGTGGGCAGGGAGCCCCCTGGCTGCTGGAGGGGCTGGGCTTGGACTGCAGCCACTCACGCAGGCTGGAACTCCTCAGATCTAGAGATGTGTGACCCTTGGCACCGGAACTCACCTAGCTGAAGCCAGGAGGCAGTCCAGAGCTGATGAAGTGGGCGTGCTGCGGTCAGTTTCTGCGCTGCTCTGAGTCAGAAGGCCTGTAGTTAAAAGGAGGAGAGGGCACAGGAAAGGGAGTATCTTTGCTGTAATCTGTTCTGACAGCTCTGGGCTACCTGACCAGGTAGCGAGCCGGGCTGCTCTGGGTCTTAGGCAGGTACTTCTCAGGCTTTTGGGGAAATCCCCAGCCCCTGGACGTCTTCTCAGGCCTGGATGCCTGTCCTTGACTTCCATTTGGGCCTGTGCTGCTTCCTCAGAGACTGAGGTCAGGGGTCTGAACCCTGCTATTTCCTGTCTTCCTCCTCCCCCTGGCAGATCTTTGGCTGCCACTGTTTTTCTCCTCGGCCCAGAAACATGTTCGTGGTTCTCTAATTGGCTTTTTAAACAAAGCAGAGCCTTTGCTGTAGCACTGTCCACCTCAGCCAGCTCCTCCTCCTCCTCCTCTTCCTTCTCCTTTTTTAAAAAAAATTATTTTTGGTGCTGGGGTTGGAACCCAAGGAGCTCTACCCCTGAGCTACAGCATCTGCCCGTGCAGATGCCCTTTTTATTCTTTATTTTGAGGCAGGATCGTGCTGAGTTTCCCAGGTTGGCCTCAAACTTGCCTCCGCGTAGCTGGCACCGCACCTGGTAGACAGGCTTCTCTTATGCCTCACGCTCTGGTCCTGCCCGCCTCAGAGCCCCTTCCCTGCCCCGTGTCCGGTGAGGTTGCTGTGCCTTGCCCAT